GTTCTAGTCACGATCGAACGCGTCTGGTTATAAGCGACCAGACATAGACCAGCCCTGAGCCTCTGTTTTGCAACCGGACGTGTCCGCTCCTATACGACTGGACGCAGCACCTGAGTCCGATCATTCCCCAACTGCCACGCGTCACTGCTATTCCTCACGCTACCACATCAGCGTACGTTAGTGCTAACCAGACGCAGGCCCTGAGCGTCCGGTCACTCTTTGTGCCAGCGTCCGGTCACGAGACCGAGATCACGCGCTCACAGCTGCTACTGACCGAACGTAGGGTCAGAGTCCAGTCACTATGTGACCAGCATCCGGTGCACTTTGTGAAACCCTGTCTTTTCTGTACAGGGCGCCGGTGGCACCATCGGACTATCAGCACTTTACGGGCGAACATTCCGCTGGTGAAGTTTCGAACCCTTGCTCCCAAGTGCTAAATACAATGTGTATCACCTTTGTGCATGTGTGTTAGCATATTTTCACAAACATTTTCTAGGGTGTTAGCACTCCGCTAGATCCTAAATGCATATGCAATGAGTTAGAACATCTAGTGGCACTTTGATAACCGTATTTCGATATGAGTTTCACCCCTCTTAATAGTACGGCTATCGAACCTAAATGTGATCACACTCGCTAAGTGTCTTGATCACCAAAACGAAATGGCTCCTACCACTTATACTTTTGCCTTGAGCCTTTTGGTTTTTCTCTTTCTTCTTTTCAAGTCCAAGCACTTGATCATCACCATGGCATCACCATCATCATGTCATGATCTTCATTTGCTTCACCACTTGGAATGTCCTACCTATCTCATGACCACTTTGATAAACTATGTTAGCACTTAGGATTTCATCAATTCATCAAAACCAAACTAGAGCTTTTAGTTAGGTCACCGTGGATTTCACTACCTCTTGATCCCACATTTCACATAGCTTCTCCAAGTTGATTGATAGGTTTCCAAGGAGGTTATCACGACAGAATGTACTTTCTTGCATAGTTGGGAGGCCCTTCAATCCACGGGAGAGATCATGGCATCCCCTAGGACCAAACCGTCATTGAATCAACATGTAGGATTGCTTGAAAGTGTGTTTCTTTGATTATGCCACAAATTGAGCTCCATTGGGCCTTTGCCCAGGTCAACTGACGCATAGGGGGTCGGGCAAACCCCTAGGTGGACCCATGGTGGCCCCTTTTGTCTATGTGTCCCTGCATTCACATATTTCCTAAATATACAAGTGGAACCCCATTATTTATTTTAGAAACCAATGGTCATTCCAACTTGAACTTTTCAAAAACACCCTTAGAAGCTCAGAATCCTAGCCAACTCTTCCTTGTACCTTGAACCGAAACCTCGCTACACCTCGCAATGCGCTTGGATCATGAGTCTCCATCAACCTTGGCACAAAGCCATAGCCTATTTTTAGCTATTTTCGGCATTAGACACTTCTGTCAACTTAGTGGAAGTCTTTGGACCTAGCTCTCGATGGACAAAGACCCTAGATTCGACTCTTAAACCTCATACCCTTCTCTAGTCAAACCAGGTCAACTTAGGTCAACCGAGATCCTATGCTTGTGGTGAGCCATGAGAAAGTTTATGAATGCCATAATCTCATCTCCGTAAGGGAATAGATCAATATAGTGAAGCCATTATAGTGGTTGAAAGAAACCTAGCTTGAGCTTGACCTGTGGTGGTCACTCTCAGTTTCCTTAATGGAGATGTAGGTCCTTAGTAGGAACTAAACTTCAGGAAACAAATCCTTGGTCATCACTTTGGTTTGATTGGTTTTTGAGTTCTTGTTTTGACTTGTTCATTTCACTTGATCTACTTTGTTGTGTCTGTTTGTGAGTGCAACTACTTTGTGGATTTGCTATTTGGAATATAAAGAAGCACATCTTCCAAGTTGACTTGAACTAGAATTGAATAGGCATAGTTTACATTTAACTTTCTATGTATTTCCTAAGTAAAAGTGTGGATAAACCTCTTGAGCATAAAAATGTGTGGAAAATTCATGTGAATGCATGATTTTTAGTAGTTTTAACTTTGAAATGCAGGGACATCTTATAGAAACAAATGGAGGGACATCTAGTTTTTTCGGTAATTTACATATAACTTGTTTGAATGCAAAAACCTTGAATGCATGTTTTTCATAGTTGACATAATTAATTCAAACCTTGAGATGTAGGGTTATCTTATAGAAACAAATGGAGAGGAAGCATGATTTTTATTTAAGTTTAATATGGACAATTATGACTTCATGTAGTATAAAACAATATGTTCAACTTATGTCGCATCATTCTTTTATCATGTTAATTTTTTGGAATAAAAGTGTAAACATATACTTGGCTATCATGTTTACCATTATTGTAATCTTCCATAATCCCTTGTTATTTTGGGTTGTTGATTATTCCATTACATACCCATTAATCCATTACTATTTGGACCAGAAGTCAGTGCTTCATGATTATTCATGAGTAGTAGCAATGCTTTATGATTATTTATGATTAGCCTCATTTCATATGGATGAAGTCAAGCCATAAGCCCGTAAAACTTTGAGTATTACATACATATCATGTTGATTGTTTAGAATAAAAGTATGAAACTATTTTTCTGTTGTAGGGATCACTTTGGCTACTAGTATTAGTTACTCTGGCGCTTTCTGACGGGCTCTACCATCATAGCCTTCCAATTTAAAGGCAATGCTTAATGGACATATTCATGACATACCTCATCCAATAAGAACGTAGCCAAACCGTGTTGACCGTCGATCCAGCTAGTTTGAAAATAACGTTATTAGGGTCACATATTTAATGTGGCCTCTCAATTCGTGCCTAGACGGCTCATAAATTCAGGACATCTACTGTCTGGCCAAGAAGGATTCTCTATCATACATGTTTCCATACCATGTTTAGCTGCAGGCTTGTTTCTTTTTAAATAATATGTCAAATGTGACGAGATTATCTCACTTTTAAGCCATTTACCCCCAAATATCTCCAATGTAAGTTTCATAAATGTCTCACAACAAAAAGTTTCATAAATGTATTACAATGGAGGTTTTTATTCTTTATGGCCGCACCATTGTGCAAAAAAAAAAAATTCACAATTGAAAGAATAAGGGGAGTACTAAGCATTTTTACGTCCTCCTCAAATATGAATCTAAAAACATTGTCATATCGATTTTGTTTTTAGATAACTATTCAATAGAATATATCGTGTTGGTGAGCAGGACCAATACCACATTATTGCTTTTGAATGAATATATATGAATGCTACGGGACCATGATTTGTTCACAAAATCTAATCACTGTTACACTATTCACAACAGACACATGGAGTTTGAACCTTAAAACACACACACACACACACACACACATCACATAGAAAATCAAGGAAAGCATAATTTTTAAAGTTTAATATGGACAATCATTTAGTATAAAACAACATGTGCAACTTATGTTGCATCGTTATTTTTCTATGTCAAGTATTGGGAATAAAAGCGTAAATTTATACTTGGCGATCATGGCTACTGTTACACGTTGTAATATTCAATAATCCCTTGTTATTATGGATTGTTGATTATTCCCTTACTAACCTATTACCCCCTTGCTATTTGAACTAGGATACGGTGCCTTATGAGTATTCATGAGTAGTGGCAACACTTTACAATTATTCATGACCCGCCTCATTTCATATGAGGGGACTCAAAGGCCAAGCCCACAACTGCTAGCATTACATATAGGTCATGTTGATTTTTTTACAATAAGAGTATAAAACTACTTTTTTCCATAGTAGTGATCACTTGTCTCGGTTACTATTAGTTACTCTTGACGGTTTCTGACCCTTTTTACCGGTGTTGTCCATGCTAACTTATTTTCAGTTGACAAGCAAGAATGTATCGAAAGCACGTCAACCGTTGATTTAGGTAGTTTGGAGATGATATTATTAGAATTGCATCTTCCAAGGGGCCTCTCAATTTCCTCCTAGGCAGCTCATAAATTTATCACATCTATCTACTTTCGGGCCGAGAAAGGTTCTCGTTCATACATGTGTGAAGTACGTATCATGTGGCTTATTTCTTGCTAAATAAAAGAATTATAAGTGAAAACACGATGAGATCCTCTTGCTTCTGAGTCACTAACCAAAATAACGATCTGGAATGTTTTGCACACACAACTCATGCCCCGTCCTCGGATACTAAGAGTACCATCATTTTTATGTCATGCTGCTAATAATGACAAGAGCGGGTACAGGATCGATGTGGTTGGAAGGAGGATATACTAGAGTAAAACGGAAATGGGGGCAAATCGTGGGGGTTTGGGTGGGTGCACATAGAGACGAGGGCACCTGTGGTGGGCTTTGTCAAGGCCGGGAGGGACAGAGGTTCCACCCCTGCTAGTGGTTGGGGTTGGACTCCCCAAACCCACACGAGCGGCCTCTGAACCTGAACCCCAAAAAAACAAAAAATCCGTATAAATTATCTCTCCTCTCCCGGTCTCCTCCCTCTCTCTCTCTCTGACGACCCAAACGGAACAAGAACAACGCGGCTGTATCTCTCTCCTCTCCTCTTCTCTTCTCTTCTAACCTCCCTTTTGCCATCAGTCTCAAAGTAAGGCAAGGGAAACCTGAAAGCCCAACCAAACCAATCGCATCTCCCACTCGAAAAAGGCAGGCATCCAAGTTCCAAATCCCAACCGGAGACGGAGGAGGAGGAGGAGGAGGTTACCCATCGATCAACAAACAGACCTACTGTACGTACGTAGAGTAGAGATTAGAGAGGGGTTACAGTATTTGTTAGCAAAAGCTAAAACAAGCAAGCATTTATTTTGTGCTTGTTTAGTTGTGATCAATTAGCCCGCCGCCGCCTCCTCCTATATTAGCCCGCCTCCCTTCCTTTGCAGCAGCAGCAGCAAGAACCAAGGCTGTCCCTTTCCCTCTCCTCCCCCTCCCTCCTCCCGTGTCCACTACTCCCATCTCTCCTCAAAGCCTCGGTAACCGCCCGCCCGGGATGGCCGCCTTCTTCGGCGCTGCTCCGCCGCCGCTGCCGCCGCCGGCTCTCGCTTCGTTCCACCACGAGGAGCAGCAGCAGCATCACGACGCCGCCGAGGAGGTGTACCACGTCGACGACGTGGACGACGGCGGTGCCGGCCAGGGGAAGCTCTGCGCCAGGGGCCACTGGCGGCCTGCCGAGGACGCCAAGCTCAAGGAGCTCGTCGCGCAGTACGGGCCCCAGAACTGGAACCTCATCGCCGAGAGGCTCGACGGCAGATCAGGTAATGCGACTACGCAAACGCCAACGCAATGCAGCGCGCCGCACCCGACGTGTGTCGCGTTTTAGATGCGCCTCGCCTGCTTGCTTCTTCGTGTTCCTGAGTCCTGACCGGTGATGTGATGCGTGCCTTTCTTTCTCAGGGAAGAGCTGCCGCCTACGGTGGTTCAACCAGCTGGACCCGCGGATCAACCGCCGGGCCTTCTCGGAGGAGGAGGAGGAGCGGCTGCTGGCGGCGCACCGCGCGTACGGCAACAAGTGGGCGCTCATCGCGCGCCTCTTCCCCGGCCGCACCGACAACGCCGTCAAGAACCACTGGCACGTCCTCATGGCGCGCAAGCAGCGGGAGCAGTCCGGCGTGCTCCGCCGCCGCAAGCCCTCCTCGTCGTCCTCGTCCTCGCCGGGCCCGGCGCCGACGACGCCGACGCCGCACTTCGCGCCCGTCGTCGTCCTGCACCAACACCACCACTACGCCGGCTCCCCTCCCATGCCGCTGCACGCCGCTGCGCAGTACACGGCGGCGGCGGCGGCGGACACCCGCACGCACAGCGGCGGCGAGTCCGACGAGACCGCGTCCACCTGCACCACCGACCTCTCCCTCGGCTCCGCCGCCCCCTGCTTCTACCAGAGTGGTACGTACAACAACGGCACGCGCCTTCCTCGACGTCGTCGCTGGCTGCATGCTGTCCTCTGTCTCATGGCGTGCGTGGCGTGCCCACATGTCGTCGTATCCAGACTAACGTTCCGTGTGTGTTCGCCCTCAGGCTACGACGTGGTCCCGCGCGCCGCGGCGTTCGCGCCGAGCGCGCGCTCCGCCTTCTCCGCGCCGTCGGCGACGGCGCGCCATGGCGAGGCACGCTCCGACGACAAGGTGTCGCTGCCCTTCTTCGACTTCCTCGGCGTCGGCGCGGCATGATCGGGGGCCCGGCGCGGCCCGGAGGCGGTGTACAGGAGGCGGTCAAACGACGAGAGCCCCGGTGGCGGTGGGTGAGGATGAACATGAACCCGCGCGTAGTTTAGCTTTAGACTCGAGTTAATCATCAAGAACAAGGCCTGAGAGAGAGGAGAGGAGAGAAGAAAAGAATGGTGATGAACTATTGAACTGGTGTCGTGGCATTGCAGACTAACGACTCCTCATCAGTTTTTGCTGCTGATGTTGCTAGTAATGGGTATGGTGGTTTACTCTGCTTGTGTTGGGAGACGAGTTGCAATTGCAAGCACCACCAAGCATGAATGAGAGATGAATATGGATGCAGAAAGAAACCGCTTGCAACACAAACTGCAAGGCAAAGGCAGATCAGATCCTCTGCTGCCTCTCTTTTTACCCTGTCTCCCTCTCTTCTTTTCATGCTCTGTTCTGTTCTGCTCTGCTCTAGTAGGATATTTATTTTTTTTCGTTTTCTTTTTTTTTTCCACTTCTCCTCCCTTTGTATGAAGAAGAAGAAGATGATGATGAAACAAGGAACCAATTCCTTGCAATGCCTCCGCTGCATTGCGAATTTGCAATGTATGTCTCTGTCCACTGTCACTGTGCCTGCAGCTCCAGGTCGGCGGACGAACGTTCGTCGCCGAGCACAAACAAAACAAAGGCTCACTCAGTTTACTAAGCTGCGCGAGGCCGCGCGACAAGGGTAGTGTCTGCGCTCCCTGCGATGCAAAGCAAGGCCACTTGTTGTGTGGATCAATCAACAAGAACAATCCTCTGACATCAACGTTCGTCTCATGTCATCCCGAAGCACAGCACGGGTCATTTTCACCCACCCCCCCAGCACGCTCTCCTGAAACTTCCCTGCACTGCACTCTTCTCTCCCCTTGTGCCCTGCCCTGGTTTCGTGGGATCCGTTGCTGGACTGTTGCCGCTGATTTCCTGCAAGCCAACGAAACTGCTGTTGCAACGCAACGCCCCTTGCTGTTAGGACTTGCGCAAGCACCAGCACATCACGCTGCTGCCACTTCTGCTGCAGCTTCCTCACTTCTTTACCCACCACTGTACTGTCCTGTACTGAACTGAACTGAAAAAACAAAACAAAAGAAAAGGATTCACAATTCAAAAACAGTGCGATGTGATCGACATGACGACATGTGAGGAGGAAAGCTACTAGCTAGCCCTAATACACTACACTAGACAGCAGATTAGTTTTGCATCCGTCAGCAGGGCGCAACTAAAGCATGGCTTTGGTTACAACAGGTTTGGTGCAGATTAGCAGTTCTGGTGAAGTTTGACTGGAGTTGTTGGCCATCCATTCCATCGTCTAAACACAGATCAGGTCTGGACGCAGGACTCGGTCAGGATTTATGCTTAAGATCGCATTGCACACGGTGATGTATGGATCAACAGCAACTAATAAGTGATGTCGTGTCCATGACAGGTACTTACTACTCCATATATATTTTGCATCTGAACTACATCTATAACGGGGATAACTGCTTTGGTTGAAAAGATCGATGTGACAGTGTCAAACTGCAAGAATATACAGCAGCATCCACATCCTTGGTTCTGGTATATGCACCATTGGTCAGATACACTACACCAAATCCTGTTAACAGAACAAAGTGGCTCACTATTACTGCAGCCGCCCGAAAAGCGTCAACCTGAAGAAAACAATATAAGTATACCTACACAAGAATCACTTGAGGTCTGGTTTTGTCGCTAAACTAACTTTGACATTTAAGAGCGAGGTATATATGCCATTGGACATGCTAGTAGGCCCCTTTTGTTGGAATAGATAGAGTACTTATGATTTCAGAGGCTGGAGAAGACCCTCCCGTCCTTATGATGATGATTGAACTAGCTAGAGTGGTAGGCTGTTAGCTTTTGGCTCCTCAGTTTAGTTTCAGTTTATTATGGATGGAAAAGGTAACAATAGATTAGTGTATAGAAAATATACATACCAATGACATGGGCAATAGCTTTTCTCCGAGGGTAGAGGGTCGATTATGGAGTAGTGGGTTGGTGAAATTTAGTTTAAATTTCACACCGATCCACCCAACACACATGAATTGAGATGAATACATATGCACCAAGCAAGTCCTCAATCGATTCACAATGATATTCACACTGGAACAGCTTCAGTCTATCTATGAATAAAACCTACAAGCAATTAGGAAGCTTCAGCAACAAGTTGGATGCTGTTAATAGCTAGGAAGCCACATGCATGTCAGTGTCAATGGAGATGTCAAGGCTGTTGATTTCATTTTTATTTCCCACAGGCTCTCCAACACTCCAATGCAACTAACCAGCATATATAGCTGAGATGCTCTCGCCACACGTGGAATATCTCCCTTACCTAATCCGATCTTATGCTTTGTTCCATGCTAGAAGAAATGGGCACAACAGGTTAAAAGAATGTTACATCATTGTCAGGAAAACTTGGAGCCATGCGCCTGTGGATCTTCTTGTGCACTGATGGCGTACATTTAAAATCATTTTTATGCACGCGTGAACTCGGAGTTTTGACATCATGCTGTTTTTCTTTAGTGCATATATATGTGGTACATATGACAAAACTTGTAGTATAAACAAATTTTGCTCCACCTGGTTACTTTAAAAAAAATAAAAACATATTACAGGCGCAGACACTTATATATACGAAGGTTAAATGAGCTATATATATGAATGTACGCTTCGCTAGCCGCCAGATGGTACAAAGAATAATTAAGAAGTTAAAGTTATAATTGTAAGGGGTTTCCTAGAAAGCGATGGTTTGAGATACTTGTCGACTAGCTCAACTCGTAATCGTTCTTGCTAATTCAGTTTATTATTCATGTTTCAAAACTGATCGAGAGGAGAGAATCTTGCATTTTACATTCTGATCGAGGTGGTTGAGAATGGTCACATGGAATGCATGTAGCCAGTACTGCATTTCCGTTGTTGCTATACGGCGCCGGCCAGGCCGGAAGCTATATATGATAAGCAATGCTATAGTACTGATCATCTGAAACATTATTCTGTTTAAAGTACTAAACTACAAACATTCTCCATTCAAGCTACAAATGAAATAAACAATGCAATCAATTTGTTTATAGTAAGTTCCAATGTTGTATATACATATATCCTTGGGACTTTTATATCGTTTATCAAACTAATCATAATTCATCAGTCTATTTCATGGCACTTGTTGAACATGTTTATTTGATTCATTCATTGTCCATGCATCCTGGTCTGAATAACAGAATCCCACGCATTTGGGCAATTGATGAAAACGGACGAATCGGAGGACGTCGTTGGATTTTAGAATGTGGCGTGGTCTAATCCCCACGTACGCAACTAGTTACAGCCTGTTCACTTGCTCGTATACGATCGTGGATTATAAGCTGGAACAGTATTTTTCTCTCACACCAAACCAGTCAGCAGTAAATAATTCACGATCGTTTACGACGAAACGAACAGGCTGTTAGTTAGTAGTTGGAAACACTACATCAAAGAATGACATAGTAAGGTTTGAATGGTTTAGAGAAGGCATATATTTAGCAGCTAGCAATATGACGTTATGGGCTGTTCTGAGATGCGTCAACTCGATCAATTTCTTTATTCCTATATCGTTTTCTTCGAGACTTGACTGGCTCTGTTGATAAAGCACGGTAATTGGAATGATCATCTTAATCTATATTTTTCTTCAAATTAACAGTGTTATACTCCCTTGGCTGGCTTATGTAAACATAATAAAACGGTTGTTCTTCCTTGTGCTATTTATGTATGTGGTTTTTTTTCCTTTCTGAAATTAAAACAGAATATAGATGTGTGCATTTGTGAGGCAGGCAAGAGGGGGTGATGTCGTCGATCTGTTGCCCAGCACAGCTGTAAGCTGTTTTGGACAGAGACGTGCATCCAACCTAGCAAAGCTCATGTCGCGCAACAAGCAAGCAGCAAGGGAAATTTCTCCTCCCAGGAAGCAAAGATGTGTGAGCAACCGATTCCTTTTTGGAGTGGGAGTGAGGTAGGCCGGCCGGGCAGCTAGCTCAGCTAGGGCTCATCGATATGATCCATCCATTGATATTGATATGATCCCCCGGCTCAGGGTGGGGGCCAATGCAAGCAAGCAACCCAACAACAAACAGTGAGTGATATGTGCATCCGTGTGCATGCCCTTTGCATCGGATTCTCTCAATCTTGTCAAGGGCATGTAGTGGAACATTTATGGGAAACAGAAAACGAAGCTGGCATGAGCTAAAACTGAAGAGAGCATCTTTTGTTTGTTAGAAGGAAAAAGGTACTGCGTACAAGGAAAGAGTCAAAAGAAAGTTGAACTAGGGGGGCATATTATTGGAGTCTTGCAATGTCTATTACGAGATGACTAGGAAGAAATACGTCGGTGTTTCGAGTTGCCACTTACCAATCAATTTTTAATATTATGCGTCTGGCTCGACACGAGGTTTATACTGGTTCAGGTAAAATGTCTCTACGTCCAGTTCGTTGCTACTGCTCGTGTTACTAGCACTGAAAGTTCATAGTAGGGGTTACAAATGGTCGAGAGAGGGACATGTCCCAAGTCTCTGTTGAGAGGAGCGAACGGGTGCCGAGAGTTCAGTCGCTTCCCAGCTGTGTGCTTGTGTGTTCTGATCGGTTCGGAGTTCGATGGATTCGAGTCCTGATTGATGAGATTTGTTGCGATGTTAGTCCTCCTCCATGGCACACCCTGCTTTCCCTTTTATAGGCTAAGGGAAAGCACGGATTACAGTGGAGGGAAAAGAGGAGAATAAGGACGAGAAGACGTTCTCCAAGATCACCAGGTCCTTCTTTTCCTTCACGCGGGTCCCGCCGACCCTATAGATGTCAACTGGAACAACTCCACGTCGTGGCCCTGTCCGTCACTGGCGCCATGCGCAGGAGTCATCTCCCGGTCGTGGCGCTTCACTCCATCCTGGTGGACGTCGTGGTGAACTGACGCGCCTGTCAGTGCTTGTGTGAGGGTTAGG